TTTAAGCTACTGCAAATACACAACATATGGTATATATTCTGTTATCATTAAAATGCTGAATATTGTTTATGCCACTGGAAATCATTACACTCATCTTTTTAATAGTTAACACAGAAGTCAGAGTATTTCCCGAGAATGTCAGAAGTAGGATGGAAGGTATGGTGACGTGAACATGTACAGTTCCACATACAAGCTACACAGAGCAGAAAACCAGAAGCCCTTATCCCATTGTCAGACATGCTCTCAAAGGATTATCATGTATCAAGACTGTATGTAGCACTGCCACCTGGTGACCAATGCTATGACAAATGCCTCTTAAAATAACTATCTAGCAAGATATTTATTGTATGAAATAATAGAATTTTCCTTCTTTTTTAATAAGTGTATTAAAACTTACTGTTCCACAGCTCAGTATGTAAAGGACAAAACTGACACTGAAATTTCCAATTTATAAATACGGAAGTATTTGTAATGTAAACACTGAGTATTTGGAAACTATGGCACCTAAACATATTGAACAGAAATTGTTCTCAGGTTAGGGCAGCTAGACCATAGCTAGCCATAGGAGGAAAATGCAGTACTGGGTAGAGGAAACCCAAAAACACTAAAATTAACCTTCACAGAGAAGATCAGCAGTCTCGGCTTCCTTACTTTCTCAATGACACAAAGTCATAAATAATTAGTAGACATATCCCAGTAACTCAGTTCAAATGGCAGGTCATTTCTCAACCTTCCCTCAGAAAAGCATCAGAAACAAGAGTCAGGAAGACTTTCAAAGCATCCAGGACTGGGTATGAGGAGTGCTGAGCATCACCCCTCTAGCATGCATAGTTCCTCACGCACTCAAGCACCAAGAGTGGAACAGGATGAGTATGTATGGATAGTGCTGTGCAGTAGCAGCAAAAGTAAGGGAAATTTGGCCAGAATTGCACAGAAACAAGAAATGAAATTGTTCGTGAGGTGACTGAGCCTCAGGAAGGGAAGACTGTAGCAGCATACCATGCAAGCTCAACCCAGGTCAAGGCACTCTTCATGTCATGTACTGACCTGCACGGATCCAACTTCCTGATCAAGGGAATGCCCAGTAAGCTAGCAGCCCAACCAACAGTCATATAACATTTTACTAAAAGTCTGTCTGGGAAATGAGGACTACCATGATCAACCACAGGGTACTGGATTTGATAGAGACTTAAAATTCAGTGGCCTCTACCCCTGTTGCAAAGGTTCTTCAGAGATGAGGCATTTTTTGCTGCAGGTAGATTAAATGACTCGGGCACTTTTGTGTTATTCTAGTACCTGCAAGTGCTAAACAGAAGAACCCTGCATGCCTCTGCAAAGGAGTGGAAATCACCCTCTCCTTACACTCGCTGTTAAGATGGTAATAAACCATTAAACCATTCAAATGCAATAGCCAACAGGGTAAGCAGGAAGAAGAAACTACATTCTTCCTCTCCCCCAGTTTATCATCTCTCTTTGTTTTTAACTGGTCCAAGCTAATGTATTTTCAGGTGTTCCAGCAGAGTGCAGATGCTTGAAAAGGGGAAAGGTTAAAAATAAAGGGGTATGGGCTCACAGCAAACAACAAGGTTACATGCCTTTAAAAGGTGGTTAAAGAAAGGCAGTACTATTTTGTGGAAGCAGAACAGAGACATGCTTTTATGTTGGCCAAGATAAGGCCAAAGTGTGCAGAAGTATACAAAATACTACTGCACAGACATAACTGCAGCCATTTGTGCACTCTTTCTGTGGGCCTTTCTCCATTGTTCTACAAAATAGCCTTCTGCAAGTGGGCTAGTGTGTTTGAAACTAGTAAAAAAAAAAAAAAAAGACGTGATGAAGGCAACAGTCACTGACAGAGGATTCCTCCATTATTCCCTCCCTTGGGTTTGTTTACTGTATAAGACACTTTTCCTCCCCTTCTTCCTTCCTTTTGCTCTGTTCCAGGCAAATGTTGAAAAGAAAAATTGTTTTTCTCCTAAATACAGTTTAGGAAAGAAAACCACTTGAATGCAATTTCCTGCAAAATTTCATTAATCTCATATGTCCTCTGTCTTTTTCCTGGTTCAATACATTTTTGTCTAGCTGTAATTGACACAAACACTCCTTGCAGCCTGCAGTTACGCCTCAGTTCTTTGGTACTCCATCACAGAGAAAGACTCCATGTGTCTGAACTTCATTCTAACTTAATAAGGAGATATTAAGGAGATATGTTTAGTCACAGTCTAGTCCTGAACTTCACTCATTACTGTATTTGAGACAGATTTTCATGGAGTAAGCTTAAAACAAAATACAGACCAGTCTTTATCTTTGGTACCTATGTGTTTAATGACTGTATGTGGGCTTACAAAAATATTCATGTTATACAATTTCATATAATCAGTAAGTAGAATTAGGAACATGCAAGGACTCCTGCTTCTCTTTGAAAAGCTCTGGTTTCTGCACATATAGACAATTCAGCAGCTTGTTTGAACATGTTAATATTGCTACTCTGCACACTGTTAGGTTTTTAGCTTTTTTTTTCCTTTAATAAAGTACTTAATTCTTCCATGACTCAGTATAGGAGTTCCTACTGATAGGAATCAGGACAAATCAGAAGTTTGAGTATACAGCCAACTTTTAATCACATCTCCTATATGTCCATACACAGCTCTGAAAATTCTCAGACAGTAAAATGGTATAGCATACGTCTCCAGGCATCTTTCAGCCAGAGTTATAACATGTTGGAGTTGAGGGACATTTCAAAAATATTCATTAACATTTCCAGAATATTTGACTTGACAAAATGTAAATTAAGACTTTTCAAAGGATGCCAACTCTCTCCTCTTGGTGATGGACCAAGCAAAAATGGTAGCTGAAAGTTTCCTCATTACCTTCCAGCTTCTACTAAGTTGTTGTTTCTAGAAGTTAAGACATGATTAAATCTTCTTTTCCATCCAGTTCCAATGAAGGCACAAATATTTCCAGCTGTATGAAGAACTTAACCGTATTAGAACAAAAGGGAAGTATTTGTAAGGCTCCAGCTTTACTTCAAAAAAGGTATTCTTTCTAGAACTCTTGCATTGCTGTAAACCAATTAATTCACTAGGCCAAAGCAGAACAATTTTTTCCAGTTACAGCAGCCTTACATTCCAACTTCTGCAAATTAAAAATGAAAAAAATAAGCTGCTCACATCACTTTTACACACACACAGAGGATTTTTTGCACTATCTTCAGCCCCAAGCCCTTGCACACAGACAAGGGAAAAGGCAAAATGGAAGTCTGTTCCTGACACCATTTTCTGATACTCCCATTTAGAGAGTCCCAGAAAAGAGCCATCTGCTCCCCCCAGGCCACAAAGCAAACACCTCGGACTTCAGCAGCACAAAGGAAGTATCATCCAGATCAATGGCCATGGCCCTAAACTTCTACTATCTTTTCTTAAAGCCAAGACTGTTTCTCTTATTTGGGCTTCTAAGCAACTCCAAGTACTGTTTTTATGCACCATGCATAATACCCCAATAGCAGGGGTGTCTCTCTTTTTATTGAAAGGATTGCAGTATGCAGCATACACAATGTACTGCAGTTTATTTTCATGACACAAAAAGGCAGATGTAACCTGTAGCAACAACATTCAGCCAGCTTCTAAAAAAGTTAATTAAAAAGTTATCTTAAGTGGGTTAGAAAGGTAGATATTCTCACTTACAAGGGGCTGAAATCACTTGAGGATCTGTCCCAGTAAAACTGGTCACTGACATTCTGAAGTTGCAGCATAAACTTCAGTCCACTTATCAGTATGAACTGTCGCTCTTCAGATTTACTTGCTCTACTACACCACCAGCACATCTTGAAGTGCAACAGTGTTGTGTTTATTACATCCCACTATATTTGAGTTTGTGTTTTGTTTATGGAAAATTAAAAAAAAACGAACAAAGAGAGCATGCAAGCACACTGTATTTATCACTCCCCCTTTGATTCTGAAGAATAAGGTAATTTCCAAAGTCAAAATTTTGTTGGTTAGGACATTATCTGAGAGCGAGCATGCACAACACACTCCGGTGGACTCCTGCCACAAAATACAAGCAGCAAAGACGTACTGCTGACTTTTAGTGTGGTTGTTTCTCTGATGTGCTTGGCTAACACTCCAGCCTGAATTTTCAAGTTCCCTCTTGACTTTTTTAGTTCAGAGCTTGGAGTGAGGCAACTACATCAATATTCTAATTAGAAGCAGACTGCTGATCAAAACATCAAACAGAGTGCCACAGATTAGAGTTGGATTAAACACAGAGGCAATATTATATTAAAATCTTTTGAATTAAATTCACCCTTCTACCTTTATTTAAAATTAGCCTCTGGGCTTCATTTCAGAGAGTAAGTTTTGGGTCTCCAGAAAAGTTTAATGCATTAACTCAGTTTTTATAAGCCTAGGTGGTGGAAATAAGTATTTGAAATAAACAAGCTGTTAGGACAAGTACATTCTCCAGTTATTAGAAGATGACTGGAAGCCAGGTCTGCAAATAGCTGCAACTAATTGATGTTATTATTCTCCAAGAATAACTCTATGCTTGTTATGCATAACTTCATATACTCCTTATACTTAATATTATTGAGTCCAAGCGCATCTCAATTTCACAGACCAAAGTGTTCATATGGGACTTACACTTCTCTCAGTATCTTCTTAGTTTACATTTTCAGGTGTCTTTCTGCACTCCAGAGTTTAAATGTGTAGTTTCTTACTCTTGGATATTAGAAAGTATACAGTGATGCTTCTCCATACACATACTGATCTTTTGTGTACAGGATGAGCAAAGCTGAACACATTTTCACAAACACTTCAGAGTTGGCTTCAAGTATTCAAAAGTGAAGAAATCTTCACCGCAATGCAAGGATGATGCTGACAAATACCTGTCGAAAAGACAAGGATACATACCTTGCTGAACAATGGCACTTCATTCCCTGTGCAGAACAGAAAGTTTACTTGATCTAAGCCTGTCCAAAAATTCAGGGTAAATAAGAGTTCTCTTCAAACTGTTTCAAGAACAGCTGCCATTTCCTTGAACTGTCTGATGAAGTTCTAAAAAGCAAGAGTTAAGATAAATTTCAGTTGCTTGAAGAAAAGCTCAAACTGTATTTCAAACTAGCATGTTAGACAAAAATCACAATCTATGTTTCTCACATCCCCTCTTTCCTCCAGCTTCAATTTGCAGCTTGAACTGAAAGTTTCCACTTTTCTTTTTGTGGGCTGGTTGGCATTTGGGCACATTATCTACACAGGTGTTTGCCTATTAATACAAGATACTATGAAAAAAAAGTAGCTCTTGTACCACAACAACAAACACCACCAAAAAAAAAAAAACACCTTTCTCATGCAAATATTTCTATTCAGAGCTGAAATAATCTAGGCTTCTCAAGTGCAGCATCCATTTCTTGTAGCAGTTGAACAGCAAATTATTTAATAGGTTTCAACTAGAACGAATACAGCATCTCACAACACTTAGGGATGCATAATGTCCTTCTCAAATTCCTGCCAGTCCAACTCCAAGGATTTACTTATCTGTAAGCTTGTATGATATTCTAAGTGATGTGTTCACTCTTTAAACAGGAATGAAAACATAAGTGCCACATTTATGCAAAATTAAACAAAGTTACATACATTCATAGATGAAGGCATAGCAGTTAAAAGCCAGTGGTGACAAAGCAGACTGACCTCCATTCCTAATCATTATAAATGTTAGCCTTAACCCAAGTTTTAGATTTTGAGGCTGGGGAACAGTTCCCTAGATTTAGAATATTCCATTTGGTTTTAATAAGGCAGAGTGATAGCTGACAAGAAAGATCCAAAAGTCTTTATGTCTTCAGTTGTTAGCTTATTCGTAAGGGAACAGATTAATTACTGCTAAATTAACTTTTTTGGGTAAGTGATGTAGAATTAAATGCTATGAAATAAGTATTTAGCTTCAGTTTTTCAAATAATTATTTAATGCTTCATCTTTGAATTATTATATTAGTAAATAAGCAACACAAACATATGCATCAAGGTTGCTCCTCCACAACAATGTGAGTGTTGTTTTTAAGAGACTGGATTGGGTAACACTGACTACAAACCTTGAACTGTGGGATCGTCATTTCAAAAGATTTGTCTGTTATTTGTCCTGAAGGGTCTGCCACTTTCATCGTCACTGTAACATAAGGATACTTCAGAGACCTGCAGGTGTCAGAGCTCATCGCAACTCCCAGTTTCCATTTCATATCTACAAACTACAGAGAAAATCATTGGAAACTGTGTTAAAGAAGGAGATCTAGCATACCATTGCTATTCTGTTGGGTGGATGATTTACAGACAGCATGGGACATTCAGAGCTCATATCCAAATGTGAAACAAGCATACACATTCAGATATTGTGAATGCAAAAGTCATCTGCCTTTCCTTTTAATAGCGAAAAAATAAGCAATTTAATAAGTTACTTCATCTGTTTTCCTTATTCAAGTACCACCAATAGTCAAGTACAGTCTACTTAAAGTTCTAGTAAGAGGCGCTTGAGCATCATTCGTGCTTTTGTCATGTTGATTTTAGAAGTTTCAAAAATCAAGTAGAAACATGAGAAAAACCTCAGACGGTGCACAAAAATTTCATAATAGCAATAATGGAAAAAATTAAGGCATTTTATAACTGTATGTTAGGCAAATCAAAGTACATCATAACTACATTTCAGACAGGTAAGTTATTTTTAGCCTTTTACAACAGGCAAAACCGTTGAATAAAGAAGTGAAGACAGCGTTTAGAAGCTTACTATCAAGCCTCAAAAATTTTTTTTCCCCCTAATTCTGTACTCTTTTAAACCATCATTAGCAAAAAAGGTCTTAAAATGCAAATACACTGTGTTATTTTTTCAAAAAATAAAAACACAAATGCTGGAAATTGACAGAAAGTATCTTTAAAGAAAGGTTTAAACTTAAGGGAGACAAAGAATACAACAATCAAACACTGGTGTTATCAACTCTGGAGAACAATTCAAATTACATTTAAAACAGATTTACATAAACAGCTAATACAATTGTCTGCCACACTGCCACTCACCTTCCCTAACAGTAACGTAGCACTAATTTTTAAAAATGTATGAAATGTGATTTTATCATCCAAACAATAATATTAGAAAACTGTCGAGCATTTAGACAACCTTTACTGTATAGGCTTCTTTATGTGGGTAGATATTTGGCAACATATATATAGGAAGGCTCTCAGCAGTTAAGATACCACCATGTGCTTAACAATGCAACATACACCATGAAGCACTGACATTTCTGAAAAGTTAATAGCTCAACTGCACTTTGACATTTAGTTACCTGTCCCACTGTGGCCATATTTCCTGCATCTTCTGACACACTAATGGATTTGCCCTGCTCATTCCATACATGTCGAATAACTTGAACTGCATGTTTTGGCAGTGTGCTGACTGCATTGCCCACAGTGGTGACGAGTTCTTCCGTAGAGAGATTGTTTCTGGCTGCTGTGCTATAGGTATATCCAAAGAACACCGCATCAATTTCATTCTCCACAAAATTTAATAATATTTCTCACTTCACCCCAAATAGGCAATTTTTAATTTCTGTTTTATGTATCTATGTACCTTACAATAACTAGGCAGCTTGTGATTTTTTTTTTCCCCTCAGATTATTTTACTGATCTTTTGCATCCACATGCAAAAAACAACACAACTTGACTTTTAACGAGTCTTAATATGCAGAGACCAAGCTTTGCTGGTCTTGCATAACATACAGCATTGAAACAAAAATAATCACAGCCTCCAAGTGCTGTTGCAACTGAAAAAAAGGTGTAATTCAGTGAAATACGTGTGCAGAGCCGTTAAACAATATTATTACTCTAGAAACAAGGCAGTTTTAATTAAACATTTAGGAGAGATAATTTAAGTATCACCAAGAGGCAAGTAAGGACCTCTAGGTAATAGTACAGTTGGTACTACCAGGAGTCAAGTGATGCAATAAACACTCAACTGAAAAGGCAGCAAGTCTAGAGGAAAATTGCCACTCAATTTCCTCTACAAAAACAGGTGAAAAAATTACCACCCTAGGTTTGTTCATGCAAATCCACTCCTCAAAGAGACAATAAAAGACAGAAAGAGTTGGTCTTCCAAGTAGCATGGTCTAAAATAATTTAAGGCTTCATAGAGTAAAAAGTAGTATGTTAAATTTGTACTGGTATATTTTCTTCAGTCATGCATACAATGTTAGATACTAGATATTACACAAACAAGATCTTTAAATTTTTCTCTTTCTGTAAGTAGAAAAACTTACGGCAAAGCAACAGCAGAAAAATACCACCTTAAAAACTCTACCTTTATCATGGCAGAGTTCAACATTATGAAACTGTGTGCCCTTCAAAGAGACAGAAATGCTGGTTTGTAATCTCTAATAAACAGGAAGCTTTTAGAACATGCTTCTTCCAGGCAAAGATGTAGCTGACTTAGCTTCAGAACTGAGCTTAACTTCCTCTTTCATTTTGCCAGTATTTCTAAAGCTTGCAGACAGGATCTTGAAATAATTTTCCCTCTTTTTTTTTTTAATTACAAAAACTAAGACTGTATGTTAATTAACAACACATTTTTTAAAAACATAAACTAAACCCAGAAGTTCGTTTTTGTATACTGAGAGTTACAAACTTTTGCCTTTTCCCAAATCAGTTCATAATTTTATACCCACATTTGATGTCACTTTTTAATACTGCTCTGAAGTTGGGGTGGCAGGAAAAAAAGACATGAGGCAAAGTAAATTATTTTGTGCTTACCTAAATAGAAAGGAAACTATGTTAGCTATTTTTGCCAGGTCACCAACATTAATCTCAATCCCAGATGTTTGAATTCTCTAGAAACAAAATGTTCAAACAATTACAAATAATAATAAGTTATGCATTAATAGAAACCCTTTTTGTATATACACACACACACAAATTGACCTGGAAAATCTATTCTTTACAGCACGAAGAACTAATATCCTTGCTTATAAGTGCTAGCATCCGAACCTACCTGACACAGTTCAGCTGTATTTACACCTGGGATCTTATGGTTCAGATGCTGAATTACCTGTTCACACTGTAAAGAAAGTAAGTTTGAAAACATTCTTAATGCATATTTTAATATAGAAGACAAAACTAGTTTGACTACTTGGAAATTACAAAACAAAAAAGAAAACTGGTTAATGCAAAAATGGACAACAGATGATGCTTTACATGCAGAGTGAAGAATCAAGTCATTGAAATGACCGACTGTAAAATTACATCAAATCCAAGCAAAGCAAATAAACTCAGTGAAGACTTTTAGTTACTCCCTCACTAGCTATTCCTACTTAACACACCATTTTCATACTAACTGAACAGTCATCCTGTTCGAGTGTACACTAAAGCAAACAAGCTGAATGTTTTCTAGGCAAGCTAACTTGATACCTCATTTAGATGAAAGGCAAACATACATTTACAAAAATCTTCTGTGATAAAAAAATAAATTTAAAGCAATCCCATTGCTCTTAGCGGGACTGGTTCATTTTATGAGTCATGTAAATCTAAGCCACCACATACATAAAATCCTCTTTGCAACAAAAAAAAAAACCCAGAAGAGCTTAAACAAAAAGATTTCCTAGAATCTGAGTGCCAAAAACCCTTCCACATCCAATTTATTGCCATACCTACCAGTTCTGCAAAAAAGTCTTGAGGTATTAAATTAATCTTATCTGCCACACCACCAACATCTGAAAAACACAAGCAGTAGTCATCAGAAGCAGATCCTTGGAATGTTATAGTAATAGATCTAATCTCTCTCTGAAGAATTCCTAGGTCATCATGCATGCATTTACCTTAAAAGCAAAGCGTTCTTTAAGGGAGTTTGTCCTGAACTACATTAACATAACCTGCTCGGCATCTCAAGTGAAGCGACAGCAGCAACACCATAAGGCCTCGGAGCCCCAGACTGAGCCTATGCAACTGCACAGCCTGACAGCCCCGAAAAACTGCCCGACCCTGTGGGGCAGTATCCGCACCAAGTCTCTCAGTTTACCGGGAAGCCGGGCACGCCCAGGGCACCGGCGGCACATGACCGCTGCTCTCCCTCAGGCTACACTGCTACATCCAGGCCGCCTCCCGGTGGCGAAGCCCCCAGGCAACCCGTGGACAACCCGGAGAGGGCCCCGTTGGCCCATCGTGAACGGCTCGTCCCGGGTCCCAAGTGAGGTGGCTCCGTGAGGCGGCACCCCGGCTAAGTCCTCAGCAGGGGGGAGCGCCCGCACCCCCGGCCGGCAGTCCTCCCCTCTACCCCCCCGCCTCTAAGCCCGGGTGGGCCCAACTCCCCCTCGCCCCCACACCGGGGGGTCCTCCCTGCCCCCTCACCCAGAGCCTCCAGCGCCCGCGCGAGCGCCGCAGGAGAACCGGCGGCCATGTCACCGCACACCCGCCGAGACCCAACTTCCGCCACACAACGCTCACCCCCCTGATTGGCTCCAGGAGACACTAGTTCGAAGAAGGGCCAGCGGCCTCGCCCTTATTGGCTGCCAGGTAGGGAGCATGCGCTGTTCTCCCCCGGAGGGAGAGGGCGGAGCCTGCCCGCGCGCGGGCAGGTGCCCTCCGCCTCGTCTACCGCGTCGCGGCGGCGTCTGGAGAGGTTTTGTCCGTCTCGAAGTAATTCGGTTCTTAAATAGATGCAAGTAAAACCAGGACTGCGTTTTAAGAGAATATGGGGTCTGCAGACAGCGAGTGGAAAAGGTCACCTGTGGATGGTGGCTCGGGGCCTTGCAGGGCCTATCCATGCTTCACCTCAGGCCAGCCGTGGCTTCCTGCAACGTGCCCCTGTGCTGGTGCTTCCGCTAAGCGATGGCTGCGGAAAGCACCCTGGCGCGACAGTCGTCTGGGGAGGCTCTTGGAAATGCCAGTTCAATTCGCATCTGGTTTGTGCAACAAGTTGTTTACTCACTTGGGTTTATTGTTAACTGGCATCAGAGTTTTCTTGGGTGCTCTTTGTTAACGTTCTCACGTACGTAAATCATGCACCATTCTGTGTATGCACATGTGGTGTATTGAACTCTACTACAGATACATAGAGTGACTGTACATTTTACAGGTGCGTAGTGGAATCACAGAATCACTAGGTTGGAAAGGACCTTCAAGATCATCAAGTCCAAACATTAATCCAGTGCCACCATGTTCCCTAAACCATGTCTTGAAGTGCCACATCCACACGTTTTTTGAACACTTCCAGAGATGGCGATTCCACCATCTCCCTGGGCAGCCTGTTCCAATGCCTGACCACCCACTCGGTGAAGAAATTTTTTCATAATATCCATTCTAAACCTCCCCTGGCACAACTTGAGGCCATTTCCTTTCGTCCTATCGCTGGTTACTTGGGAGAAGAGACCAGCGCCCTCATCGCCACAACCCCCTTTCAGGTAGTTGTAGAGAGCGATAAGGTCTCCCTTCAGCCTCCCCTTCTCCAGACTAAACAACCTTAGTTCCCTCAGCCGGTCCTCATAAGACTTGT